GTCCTGTCGATTTGGTTTCGTAGAGAAATACGAAGTAATGTACAATCATTAACACTTGGTGAAAAATCCGTAAACAGACTTACAAAAACGACGTTTTATAAACATACTTTTTCTACTTAAACGACATATGAAATTTCTGCCATACTTTAATATGAAGTTATTAATTATTATTAAATTATTACTAGTTAATATTTTAGCCTTGTGTTTCAACTTTGAGTAATACCAGGAAGGTACCGCATTATTTGTTACCTCATTTATTCTAGATCTAGTGGTCCACAGGGGTAACAATAAATCTGAACATCCCGATGACCGGTCAATAGGATTATTAAGTTACCACGTAGTCTTTTCGCTATGTTTCTATTTGAAAAATGTGGTAAATAAGTACAAATAATCAGGTTCTCACGAACAATACATTTTTGATAAAATCGAATGTAATTGTATAACATTTTGATAAAATCGAATGGTATGTCCCGAATTTGTTATTAGTGTTTCTTCTCGATCTGTTATATCAGTAATATCAAACATGTAAATTTTTGATAGGAAGAATTCGGCTCCACTAACTGGTTCAATTTAAACTGGCGGAAACGTCCCATTGGTTTCAGTGTACCTAAATAAGATTTCCGCAGTTTACAGACAAAGTCAAAGTTCTGTATAAAGTGAGTACATAACTGGTTGTGTATATAAAGACAATTACACAGCAAATGTACTATCGACGAACACAGAACACGGCGAGGAGCTCGTTAAAAACATGTGTGTTAAAAGGGACTGAAAGAAAATAAATAAACAGTATTAAAGCTAGTCACAATGTCGAAAACCGGTACCTAAAACGTTCTTCAGCGAGAAAACTCAAGGGTAAAAACTTTGGTTACATCCACATGACGGATGTACAAAACAGTATGAAGACACTACGTAAAACGTGGAGCCTGCGTGAAGCACCGTTTTACAGGTGCGGGTTTTTTGACGATAATTTAGTGTATGTAAGTTATAAAGAAAATGATAAATTGAAAAGGTTACTTAGTGAAATTTGTTGAAGATTTCACGAGTTGTGATGGTCTGTAGTTATTAAAAGTCCTAAAATTGGAAATTTACGAAAGAATAAACTTATAAAGTAAATAGAAATTTTTTTTTAGATATGATTATTATGATATTATATTTATTAATCATGTACTTGAAACCACGAATAATTAGAACTAACAGTTTCTAATCGTTGTTTATAACTGACAAAATAAAAAATGCGTCATAGCTATGATGGATGTACTTGTTTGAAGAGGTTAGTGTTTTTGTGGGGGTTTTTTGGTGAGAGATTTTGTATGGGAATTTAGGGGGAGGGGTATGGAGTTATATAAAGAAAGAATTTTTGTTACTTAAGGAGTTTATTGATTTGGCTATGAAGTTGTTGGGGATGGTTAAGTGTAGTAACAGTCCTAATAAATGGGAAATTTACTTGTTGGGGAAATTCTAGCGGAGCAAATTATTGTGTTTGTGTTTTTATATAATGAGATTTATTTATAATTAAAGAGAGTGTTTTTACGAGTGACTGAAGTAAGTTTTGTTGTTGGATAGACAGTTTGATGTAGGTGTATAGTGGTTGAAGATATAGGCTTTACGTTTGTTTTTTTTTTAGGTTTTTGCTGAGTGGGTTTGTGGTTTGTTGGTTTGTACGGCTGTATTTTATCGCTTTGTCTCATAGTGATTATGGGGTTTAGCGTGTTTTAGCGCGTGCGAGAACTCTAGTTGTTTACACCATAACTGTTATATTCCATGGAATGCTCTTAACATCCCGATAGCAATGCATATATTAAATGCTTTGACAATAAACACATAAAACAATTTCATCTGTGGAAGCTGTAAAAAGCACGACCAATCATTTTAGCCGGTTAAAATAACTGGATGGCTCATTGGTCATGTGCGCGTTCGTGTCGTGTGTGTTGGAGGAGGGGCTCTGAAGGAAGGAAGTCTGAAGGAAGAGGCAGATTTGTTCCGGTTTTGTACTTTCAAATTCTAGCGCACTCGAGCTGGTTTCTCCAAAATTACATACCCCACCTTTAACTAAGACATGTATTTCTATGTCATCAGTTTGCTTGTTTAAAATGTATTACTGTGCCGTCTTAGAGCATATTGCCTGCATTTTCTGTTCCTTTTAGAATAGATTTATAATTTTCTGTTTTTTTTATGCTTTCTAATGTATGGTTGTTAATATTATACATTTAAATAAATAAATAGTTTATTAAAATAGATGGTTGCATCTATGGTTGTAACTACTCCAATTCGCCAGGTGGCGCTCTGATGACATCATCACCGACTGTCGACCAATCATCGGTGACTGGCAGTTTGAAGAAGAAGCGGGTCCATCAGCGGATACATTCGGGATAATAATTAACGACATACAAAAATAGACTATAGCTACCAATCATGGAAACGGGCAGAAACATCTGACTTTATGTATTTTCTATGAGTTTCTCCGATCACTGTTGATCAATTTTATCTGGGCCTTGATAGAATAAGCACAGTTTACAAAAGGTCGAGCTATTTGGCTATAGTTAACGGTCGGTCGGCAACGACTAGTGCATTTGAACTCCTTTGCCCGTTAATATCACTTTAAGTTTCGTTAATATCTATAATCGTAAACATGAATCCAACACTGCCGGTTTTTATGAAAACATACGGTGGGGAGAGGCGAATGGTGCCCGCCTGGTTCTTACCGGATAACCGAAAGAGAGACTTCGACAGCACACGCTCAACAGACGGGGACAGCTTCGTCGCTGAACCCTCAAAACCTCCGAGGAACAGGTGACGTTATGTTCATGTCGACGATCTAATGGAGAAACTTTATTCAGTTAAATACTCAGAGGTGGGAGAAGTACTCAGATCTTGTACTTGAGTACAGAGTGTAGGAAATTAGGATACTCTGTTACCAGAGTGTAGGAATACTAAGTCCTGCATTCCAAAGGTTACCCAACTAACATTTCAAAATGTATTGGCATAACAATATGCTTAAAGTACCAAAAGTACTCATTATGCAGATCGGCCCATATTATAATGATATGTATTTTATATCTTGATTATAATTACTGATGCATTAAAGTGTCATTAAAGCTGGTAAAGGTGCAGCTAGTTTTAATGACTTTCTATACTGCATGGTAGCTTGTAGATGTATTCCAGGTGTAACTAAAGTCTGATTTAAGGGTTGATTATATTTCATATTATTAATCCAAATCTGTAATGTAACTAAAGGCGCAACATACATGTAGGGGAGTAACATTACATGATTTACCTCTGAATTGTAGTGGAGTAGAATTACAAAGTAGCATAACATTCTAATGCTCAACTAAAGTACAAGTATCTTCAAATTATACTTAAGTACAGTACATCTACTTAGTTACTTCCCACCTCTGTGAATACTGTTATTCTTTAATGACTAACACTAGCATGACCAATATATCATAATGGTTGATTACTTTGCTTATCACACATGGCAAATAGTCAGCTTATAAATCAAACAAAACTATCGTACACACATTTCATTAAGTGACAGTCCAGCCAAAAGCTTGCCCATCATAGAGTATTGACAAGTACTTAAAAATGTGCAGCTCAGTCACTTACAACATTTAAGTAATCCTTTTTAAAAATGTTTATCTGAGTAGTATTTTAGTAGACATGAAGAAACACACATGGCATATTTCATTTTGTAGAAACAAGTTGGCTACTGAAATACGCAAGGCTCATACTCATCGGCTATTGTTTCAACTAACTTGTTCATCCGTTTTTTCTTGTCATAGAGAGAAGAAGACTAGTGTTGCTGCTCGTAGAGAGCGGATTCCTGCAAAAAAAAAACAAAAAAAAAATCTGACTGAGAGGAGCTTTAAGGAGGAGAATATCCCCTGTCCTCAGCGTTCTCTGAAGAGCAAGACAACCAGGTGTGTGAAAAAAAAACATGTCTTGCAATGCAGTAATATTAATATTTTACATTAATATACATTTATCATAAGTTAACTGTAAAGAAATATTAGTTAATTCGACATATTATCCTTGAGTTTCTTTGCATTGTTTGATCGTCTTATTGTTTTTTTTTCCATGACATGCTTTCTTTTGCTCCTCATCCTCCCTTGCTTATTGGTTGGTTTTAATATTTTTTGTTGTCAGTGGTAGAGCAGTCCGTTCTGCCAAGACAAAAGCCCTGTTACGTCTGGTAGACACCAGCAATGATGAAGAAGAGAACATCAGCACACCCTCTTCTCTGTGTCCTCGGCCCGCTCAACAGATCAAGAAAACCAGGTCTGTACAAACAAGGATTTTCTGCATGATCAGAGCTTCTGGTTCTCTTTTTTATGTTACTAGAGCAGTTTCTGCGAGTAGACTTTAGACATTGCCTTCCATTTAAACAGCAACTTGCAGGTTAGAGACACCAGTGAATAAATGTGTAGGAAAATGATCCATAAATATACACTACAGTGACATCTGGCGTCGTTTTTGTAAGACATTTTTTACTTCCGCATAAAAAAAGCCTCCCCATGTGACCCCCCACCTGTGACGTCACATGGGGGAGAGCGGCCGGTCTAACGTAATTTAATAAACATGGATCACAATGCTAGTTTTGACACAGAAAAGGTTGAACATGTATATTCAAATGCATATGACGGACCACAACCATATAATTATGAGCTTGCTATACGTCCAAGAGACCAGGAGCAGCCAAGGATTAGAAGAAATAACGGCCATCGGAGAGAAATGGAGCTGTGGTGTGAGGAGAACCAGTGGAGAACAGGGCAGCTGTCTTGGTGAGTGACCGGCGTTAGCTACCGTTAAATGTTAGCTAACGTCAGTCACATCACAACATTGTAAAGTTAGCTCATATATCAGGCTATAAACTAAAGCAGTATTGATAATATAGTAACGTTACTGGCAGGACTGTTGATACTGATCCATAACTAATGCGCAAGTATCGGCCGTATCTCGCGTTACCTAACTCAACTCCACACTACATCTTACGGTGCGGCGTACCGGAGGGGAGAGAGAGAGGAGCGAACCCCCCTTCGCTCCTCTCTCTCTCTCCCCCCTTTGCTCCTCTCTCTCTCTCCCTCCTTCGCTCCTCTCTCTCTCTCCCCCCTTTGCTCCTCTCTCTCTCTCCCTCCTTCGCTCCTCTCTCTCTCTCCCCCCTTCGCTCCTCTCTCTCTCCCCTCCGGTACACCGCACCGTAAGATGTAGTGTGGAGTTGAGTTAGGTAACGCAAGATACGGCTGATACTTGCGCATTAGTTTCTGTTATGGATCAGTATCAACAGTGATGTGACTGACGTTAGCTAACATTAACTGTAGCTAACGCCGGTCACTCACCAAGACAGCTGCCCTGTTCTCCACTGATTCTCCTCACACCACAGCTCCCTCCGGGAGAGAGAGGAACGAAGGGGGGGAGAGAGATGTAATACGGTTTCCTGATAAATGTTTTGTTTGACAGGNACAATTGGTGGCTGACTAAATACTTTTTGCCCCACTTACAATTTACAATTTCAGAATCAAACAATTATGAGAGCACTCTCATAATAACATAACACAATCAGAGACTGGATATATCCCCCCCTCTCTCTGGTGGGGGAATTACGAATTGAAATTACGCGCGCGCCAAAAGTTTTTATTTACAAGTATAAGAAGTAAGCAGAGGACACCGACCAACCACTGGAGAGGGCTGTCTTGCTCCGCCGCATCTACGCAGCTGTACAACACACACACACCTAACACACTGTACCACGCCACAACCCCTACAAAGCGTGACCACACACACGCTAACACACTGGTACCACACACACCTAGCACACATGTACCACGCACACACCTTACCACACTGTGCCACACACCACCTACACCACTGTACAACACACACCTACACACTGTACCACACACAACCCTCCACAAACTGTTACCACGCACACCACCTACACACTGTCCACCACACCACGTTACACACTGTACCCACACACACCTACCACACTGTACCACACACCACCTACACACTGTACACGGACACACCTACACACTGATACCACACCACACACACACTGTACCCACACACACGCTACACACTGAGACCCGTCTGTCCGCCGCATCGACGCACTGTACAGCATACACACACCTACACACTGTACCACACACACACCTACACACTGTACCACACACACCTACAGCTCCTAAAGCATAATCAGGCTACAGCCGTTGTGTATTTTATTATGTGAAGCACTAAAAGGTTTTAGAAAAATATCGACTCTTTGTTTGTAGATATCTACTAAACTACAGCAAATACAGAGGGTAATGTAGGCATGTTATACTGAGTGATATATATTTTACACACTGCTCTGCTTTCTGCACGGACCTCACAGCTGTTCTCTCTGGAAACATTGCAACGCGATGAAAGCAGTTTCTAAAATAATACCCAGGGGATGCATGCAGAGCTGTCATTGGCTGAGATAAGTCCGGCCGTGCGTAACCCCTCCACCGTTCCCGGAAATGCATCCGTGGAGGAGCCGTGGAGGAACCATCAGTGTCTCCTCGGTTAGAGCTCCTCCAGAGAGCCTCCTCGACGCGCGATGCTCGGTCCTCGAAGTGCATTCAGAGAAATGAGATGTCCTTCAAAATGGCGCGCTGAAATTCATTTCCGGGTCACTACCGGAGGACCAAGGAGTCGAGGAGGGGAAATTTGAGTATTGAGAAACCTCTATTCTCAAGCAACCATTTCGCTTCTCATGCACTGATTCGCTAGCTGAACAGCCAATCAGAGTGATTTCTTTGTCCGACTGCCTGTGGCCGATGTTGAATCGGCCGTGCGTCGGCCATGAAAGGCCAAATAAGGCGTGTCACGGCCGACGGTGCGGGACACACCAAATTGAGTTTGGGCGACAGGGCACGCTTCGTCGTCCGACTAACGAAAACGGCCGATTTCGGCCTGGTGTGTCAGGGCCTTTAAGTGCATGTTAATGGTCTGCAAAGACTAAAATCCCTGTGTTCCCTTCAGAGGGAGTTTCTCTCCCACACACTTGCTCTACTTCCCTCTACTTCCCCCAAAAAACTGCATACAATTCCTTCATGATTCATCCCTGAATTGACATATTTTACAACAGATGTAGTATTTTCCATTACCTGGATATTCATTGTCATACTAACTTACTCATTGTACATGTTATTACATAATTCAACACTTAAAGACAAGGCAGGGTGTATGTATTTTGTGCAAGTTTGTCTAATCCTCATGTTAAGCTCTGAAGAAGAGCTCAAATCACAGCATATCTGCAGATCTGGATGATACGCCATAGTATATATATAGTATATAGAAAAACCCCTGAGGGCACATATTAGTTATTTCGAAGTATTATATCTAAAAATACTAATCAAAACACATGATTGATCTGTTCATGTCTCTGCAGGCTGAACCTGTCAAGGAATGAATAGGTTACAAAACACATTTACTTTCGAATTTCACAATATGTTAGTTATTTACAAGCAGTGCCCCTAAAAAAGCACATTTTAAGAGAATAAGGCAAATCCTTTCGTGTCCCCTCGAGCATTGCCATCTGTTAAAGATCTGGTTTAACTGGATTTCTCTGTCTCAAGCCGTTGAATTCTGCTGAGCCTGTCAAGTTTTACAGTCGAGTGAATATGTGTAGTTTGTAGATACAGTGTGGAAATACTGTACCCTTATACGAGAGGAGCTCATTGTTCGTGACTTGTTTATTGTAAACAAACGGAAGCTCACATATCTAGCTCTAGTTGTGCTCTTGCCTCCTTCTTCTATGAGCGATACAGATGATGAGAAATATCGTAATTGTTTTTTACAGTCGGTGTGCCAGTTATCATTTAATGTTGGCAAAAGTCTTAGTATTAATCCTCTCTTGGCTTGCTGAGGCTTGACTTGTTGTCTTTGAACAGTGTAGGCAAATGTGTTTGTGGCTTGAAAGCATTTTAGGGGAATTAAAGGCTTAATATAAATATCATGGAGGCAAAGAAATATTAAGCTAAAAAAAAAAAATGTCATGATAAGAGTAATAAATGTCTTGGATAGAAACACCTTAAAGCCTTGTCTGAGTCAGTTTGCGAGAAAAAAACTCCTCATTCAAATGCAAATGTTGTTTGTTTGAAAAGGCCCCATTCACAAGTCTCCGAGGTGTTGATTCTTATGATAATATGTTTAGTAAATCCCTACTGACCAGGTTTGTTTTAATCCAGGTTTAATTGACTACTTTAATCTCAGCAATTAGGTGTAATTTATCTGCATATTCCCCTATCCACAGTAACAATTTTTTTGAACCCATATCGATCAATATTATAACCTGAAATATGGCAGATATCTTCTTTAACATTGCATAAATATTTCTTAGCTTTGACTTTGAAGGGCAGTCAAGAAGAATTCACACAGCAGCAGCCACCAGTTGTATTTTGGTCAGTGGAGGATTAGTCCGGTGGGAGGTGGTGTTGCTTTCGATGGGATAGGCTGCAGCATGCAGGGTGGAGGGAGAGGGGGGGTCTGTATGTCAGTTAGCCTTTCAAGGCTGTGGGTAATGTAAATATTAGTGTTGTCATGTATAGGTGTGTGGGAGGAAAGGGGAGTTTTTAGACTGGTTGGCTAGTTTTCATCATATTTGATTCGTATCATCAAAGACCCTCTCTTTCCTGCTTTCATCCCTTTTCCCATTATAGTGCTGTCCACTGCTAACTCTGATCTCTGTGTGTGTGTGTGTGTGTGTGTGTGTGTGTGTGTGTGTGTGTGTGTGTGTGTGTGTGTGCACTGGTAGTTTTCCATGAGGGAAGGTTGTGCGGGCCCCAAGGGAAAGTCTTCACGAGGGGAGGAGTCAGCAAAGGAATTCTGTGTGTGTGTGTGTGTCAGTGTGATTATGATAATGAAGAGGGAATGCAGAGGGAGGTAAAGGTGTGGGGGTGTATGTGAATGAACTCCTGTTGGGTAATAGCAACTGTAGAAGGGAAGCGGAAAACTCCAAAGTACATAGTGTTTTTTTTTCTGTCAGGGAATAAAGTTATATGGCACAATCTGCAAAACAAAGTGTCACGCAGAGAACTGGGAAGATCACTCTGCCGTGTCACTTCTCAGTTTGAATTGTATTAAAAGTTTGTGGAAGGACTCGAGAGGCAGGAAGGAAAGGGAACGAGAGGTCAGTAAAGTAGAACTAGACGGAGGAAGAGGAGGACATGCAGTCCGATAGAAAGACAAAGAAATGGTTTGTTTTGAGACGCCAGTGTCCTTTCCAAGGACAAGCAGACATGCCACTGCCGTCA